ACTTCACAAAACAGATTTAGCAGGTGAGGTTGCGAGCAACAGCGGGGCCCCCGTAAAGAAAGCGTTTAATTAACCCTTTGATCTCGAAAACAGCGTGGCAGCCGCGCACTTAGCTAACGGGCTACATTGATACCGAACTTCGTTAAGCACTTTAACCTTTACGAGGTTCATTTTCGAATTAATCCGCCCTGTCGATTCCCCAGGTTCTCTCTCTCTCTCTCTCTCTTTGGAAAACACGATTCACTCTCCGCGGTCAACGAATTCTCTCGATTTCCTCCGAGAATCTTTTGTCCTTCGTTCGTGGCCGATTCATTTTCTGCCGATCGAGTCTCGCGATCGACGGCGGATCGTAGAATAAACGTCGCAACTTTTGGTAGAATCAGCTGAGATTACGGAATTACGAATGTTTCCTCAAGATGTTGAAGCTTTGCTCATTTTAACGCGCACCGTCTGTCGCGTAGACAGAATTGAAATTCTGTTCCGTTCAACTACGGTGGGACGTCAATTATCCGAACTAATTGGAAGACAAATCCATCCGAACGAGCGGTTTTTCGGATAATCAAACTTGTGAACAGATCGAAGTTTTCAAATGGAATACGGTTTATTACGTAAATGAATACATGTCTCTTCGTCGGAGCTTTCTCTTGAATTAGTGCAAGATTTGCATATACACATCATCGATCTATCATCAGTCATTTGCTATTTTCAAGCTTCTGTACAGATGAAAATTTCTCTCGTTATCTAAGTCTTACTTTGCAATTCTAATAATATTAATTCACTATCTTCAATGTAGCTAATTGTATATTTTCTAACATTTCTAACTCTATAATTAAATTATACGTACTCTTGCTCTTTTTTCTTAAACGTTCAATAATATTTAATTTATCTTCAGCACCGCTCTTTTTCTTTTGATAGTATTTCCATGAAAACATTTCAGTTTAAATGAAAGGCAGTGACTTCCAAGATATAAACATTGTCTGTGTCGTGTGAACGACATGTAATTTAAATATACAGACAATTAGGCTGTATCCGAATGATCGGCGTTCGAACAATTGTACCATATTCTTAATTCAGTCAACAGTTTACAAATCCGATCGTCGTCGTTCCAAAGTATTATTTCCCAGATAATCGTCACGTAACCGCATTCAGTTGGTTGATCATCGAGCAGAGAGAGAGAGAGAGAGAGAGAGAGAGAGAGAGAAATTCTTGATGGGGCGTAGTAAAGGGAGTGACGAACAAGGCAACCCCGTCCGCTGGGCCGTAAATAATAAAACTGCGAAGGCAAATATAATTACCTAACCGTGTGTGTAACGTGTTTGTAAGCGGGCACAACAATCGTAAGGTTCCGTTGAAAACGAGCCGCTTTTCAAAGAGCCTACTACGTACATGCTCCTGTGCCAATGGCGCGGCAGTTTGAATTAAGATTTCAGTGGCCCCCCCGGTGCCCGTCAAGATTGCGCCACTGGCCAATTTAATCTCCACCAGTCCGCCAACGAGATCCTTTTCACTGGCCCTCCCCCATTTTGTTTTCATCCGGAGGATCACAATGCCCCCGCGTAAACATCCAACGTGAATGGGTCGCCGATTAATTAACCGACCCCGCTTTTCCTCCGGTGTCCTTTACGGTACCAACTTCGTCCAAGGCGAGTCTCGCGTTTCTTCGACTTCTTCGAAGCTTCTTCTCTCAGAGCCGGAAAGTTGCGAAACAGTAACTTCCAATTTCTAAACGAGCCATGAAATTTTTCATTGTAGACGATTCAATTTTCGAATCGTGAAATATATATATATATATATATATTTTTTTTTTCTCTCTCTCCGTTTGCCCATCTCGTTATCGTGACGTAGCTGCTTCTTGCTGCTCTTGCCTTTGACGCGAGATTCCGTCACAAACATGTCTCTCTATCTCCTTCCGCTGCAAGGAGAAGCCACCAAACACGAAGACTGTCCTCGATCGAACAAACCGCCATCGTTTCATCTTCGACAACTTTTGTCAACTAACCGTTCTCGCTCTACGCAGCGAGACAAAGAAAAAAAAAAGAAGAAGAAGACCGGATGGAATTCCGCCCATGTAAGAGTGATTCGCCGGCAAATTTGATCGGATAAATGTTCCCGACGACGGTGGTCGCGGAGCTACCCTTAACTCGACGCCGTACAAACCCCCTTCGCTCTGGGATGTATGGCGGCGATACAATGGGAGCCGTGCACGCGCGCGCGCTGGTACGTAGCTAGGCGAGCATTATGTGTATCCTGGCTCCTCCAGAAAGAACGTACGAGCGAGCAGGTAAATTTAGCGACGAACGTTCGAATGCGCGGCTCGTATGCGAGCATTCGCGGTGACTCGAGTGCGCTTCGAGTGTTCGCGTAAGGCACGTAGATAAAATACGTGCTCGGTACACGTACTCGCGGGGTGCCTTGCTCCCTCTCTCCCCCTCCCCTCCCTCCAGGGGTAATTGGCCCTCTTGATCGCGTTCGTAGGACCGCTTTTCAATATTCTCGTTGGCGTGTTCCTTCCTTCGTGTGCCCTACGTCTCTTCCTCCTCCCCCTCCCCCCCCGTGTTCCCTCCATTTCTCTCTTTTCTTCTCTATCCCGTGAGGCTTCAACTGCTCGCCCGTTTCTCCTTCGATCGCTACGGATTTTTTGGTCACATATAGTTCTTAATTCTATCGATTCGTAGTTGAACATTGCGCGCGTTTGAATATACGTACGTAGCCTTGGAAGTCGTCCTTGGGCTTAGTTGGGTACTTGATCGAAGGAATCTTTCCCCCTTTTTCCTGGTGCTTGTTCAGCGTGTTCAAAGCGTTGAGAAATAAACCTCGACAGCGTGAGCTGAAGAATGGACACGTCGATCCTTGAATGAATAGTATTGTGAATAGATAAGTAAATAATGGTATAAAAATCCTGAGGTCAAATTATTCTCGATTAAAAAGTGAAGTATATACTTCGAGTAATGACCTGGATAGTCTTATTAAGTCTATGAAAAGGAAACAGACGGAAGAACAAGTTGAGGAATGACAAGTGACTTCGCTGTGCCATTTGGCTGTGAATGTGTCACAAATATTTCCGTCTCGTCTCGTCTCGCCTGGCCTCGTGAAATTATACCCACGGTGGGCAATGTTTCTGGCTGCTGGAAGGTTTGCAGCAGGATTTTTAAAAAGCGGACGGCTAGACCCCACGCCAAGTCGGCGGTGGGTTGTTCAGCGGACAGGTCAGTTTGGAATTCGAACAGGCTGCTACCGTAGGAGCTGCTGCAGGGCGGGGCAAACGTCAGGCAAATGGAAAGC